TTTCTTAATAAAATTATAAATTTTAATATAGAGAGAAAATTTTAATTTTTATTATATTTTATTAATAAATTTAGCTTCTGAGTTATTATTTTTAATTATTATTATATAATTTATTTTATAATAAAAATTAAAATTATTTTTTTATATTAAATTTTATAATTTATCAATAAAAATTTTTCTAAATAAAAATAAAATTTAATAAATAAATTTTATATTAATTTTATAATTAGAATATTTTTTATTTAATTTATTTTATATATATTTTTATTAATAAATATTTTTATATATTAAATAAAAATAATAATTTAATCTTAAAATATAAGAAAATTCTTTTAAAAATTATAAAAATTTAATATATATTTAATATAAATTATTAATTTTAATTTATTATATAAATTTTATTTCAAATAGATTATTAAATATAGTTGGATCTTTATATAATCACAGTATTCTTTTGAGTTTTCCAGTTATTAAGTAAATAAAATTAAAAAAATCCATAATCACATCTTTTTCTAATAATTATCTACCTTCAAATATAATAATTGTAGAAAGATTTTTTAGATCAATTTTTTTGTAATACTAGATAAACTCAAATTAATTGATGAGAGTGACTATTTTTAAATCAACTCAACCCAACTTAATGAATACAAAAAGCAATATAGAAGAAAAAGTATATCAATATACAGTATCCGAAAAATCAAAATATCGTACGAAATAAAATAACAACATTAAAAATGACGAGGCCAAAAATTCGATTCTTAATCACGAAAAAAAATGTATATGCACGCGCGCAGTAGAGTTTACCGAATTTTTTATTTTATTGACTAGAATCCAATATACACCGAATAAATGTATACCCGTTAATCTCAAATAAAATCAATCAAATAAATTCTAATGACACTTAAATAAACGGTTTTTTGGATTATCGTAGTGAATAGAACAATAATCGCTAGATGATTAATCGCGAAACTCCTTTTTTCATGGGGAATGTCAAAACTAGACATGTAACTTTACAAATCGAAAGAGGAAAATGCGAAGAGACAAGGAATGTATAAGCTCATAGAGATTGATGTAAGAATAAAAATAATAATAATAATAATAATAATAGATAATTATATAATTAGTGAAAAAATATTACAAGATTAAATTAGACGAAGAAAATTGATTTTTAATTAAAAAGAGGAGGATGGATATATGTGTATGTATAAACTGCATGAATGTAAAATAGTAAATAAAAAAAATAAAAATTGTCCCAACACCTCAAAAAATATATAAAGTTTATGTATGTTACAATATGACATGACACGCTACATCTTATGAATATCATGCCAATCAATCATTGTCCAATCTCTTACAAAAAGCAGGATTAACCCATCCTCGCTCGCGAGTATCCGCATTAATGCAAAACCACCAAGGATTTTTTTTATCTTCGTGCACATGAATCACTTGAAGTAGCCCCCCAGCATCATACGACAATCTGTGTGAATCTTTTGATTTAAATCGATTCCGTGTCGTGCACAAAAACAAAACTTTGTCGATGTTTTTTCCCTCTTCCTCGCCGTTTGTTTCCTCCTCTTCACCAGTTCGCGTGTCATGAAACACTTCATCTTCGTCGTCTTCGTCTTCATCCTCGACAGTATTGTCGGTCGTGGTTATGATAATGGTGTTATCTTTACCAATGAATGCATAGTCTTCATATCTAAGATTAATGTTTTCTTTGCCAGCGAATTCATAATCTTCATCTTCAGCGACTATTGTTGATTGAGAGGTATGACGTAGTGATGTTAATGCACTATCGGTTGCATATTTCCGGTGCCCATTCATTCGCTCTGGTTCGTCATAAATGTGTTCAGCGCTAACGTTGAATGACCCATCATCAAGAAACGGAGAAATTCCATCAACATTCCAAGAATTTCTTATATCATCAGATAATGATGAACTAGAATGGTATGACATTCGTTCTAAAATCAAATATAAAAAACTTTATATAAGTACTTTACTTTTGGAAACATTTTAAAAACAAAATGCTCGAACCATACGTGGAGGCGATAGTGAGTGTTCTTCAAATTTAACGGTTAAATGAGTATCCTGTGACACTGATGCAAAAATATAAAATTTCAATTAAGATTAAGAATAATATTACTAATGTTAATCATGTGTAGCATAAATACCTGACCGAATCAAGGTTTTACCTGGGCGCCTTGATGACTCAGAATCCTGTGTCGTGAGAGAATCTGAAAAGCTCGAACTTCTTACACGTCTATTACTCGAATTTTTTTTTGGTCCTGCTTTAGATGTTTTAGGATTCGGGTCTGTTGCTAAAGTAAAAGATTTGTATAAGTACTTGCCTTGACCACAAATTTAAAATCTGTCATTGAATATAATCATACAGAATCTTACCATCATGATTCTTAATCAACACGAACTTCCTTAACTTGTCTTCCATATTCAAGAAAGAAACCATATATTCTGTTTGAATATCTATATCACGCAAAACCAACTTCCGATCATCCGATACATATTCTACTGCCTCGTACTCGACATATTTATAGTAAAACTGGGCAAATTCCATGCACATTTGTCGATAAAATCGTCCTTGTATTTTGGCAAATTCGCGCACGATTATGTCAAAGTATCTTCCTATGAGCTCGAAAAATTTCGGCAATTCCTCTTTAAGTTGGTCCCGTATTGATTCGAATGCTGCTGCTGATTGTTGTAAGGTTTTGTCCGGCTATTATTTTTTTTTGTTAGTTTCGGATGTATATTGTTTATTTATAGTAAGATTTAAGAAATAATTTGTATACAAATACTGACTGTATCGCCCCGCGCTTTAATCGCCTTTGCTCGGTCATAATCCAAAATTTTTCTATCGCGCTTTCTCATAACTGCAGCTGGCGCTTTAAACCTCTCCATATATGATTCAATTTGTGGGTATATCGTTTTCTTAATTGCTTCTTCCTATAAATATAGAGGATAAACTTGAATAATCAAGAACTTGATCAAATTTAATTTAAGATTTGCACTAACCATCTCTTTTCCGCATGACGAAGCAAGTCCGGCCACAATTTTTTGGTACTCAACTGACCGTTTTTTTCGTTCATCATCTAAATTGTGAAAATCATAAAATTCACAAAACGAAGTGGCAAATTCTTCTTGCTTGGCAAAGAATACTGCATGTACGTTTGATGAAAATAAGATTTATTATTAATTTAATTATTATTGATTTTGTCACGAGTATTAAATAGAGGACAACCAGCAACAATAGCGAAATCGATGCTTTACATACGCCTTACGCTTTTCACCCAATCTTGGATATCTTTATGAAGTTGACTTCCTTGTCTTTCCCATCTTTTGAATTTCTTTACACATTCGTCATAAAATTGGTCTTCGGTGGCTTTAGCAATTCCAGTAACGTGCTTTATCTGAATATAATTATTCTTAGCATCGTTATAAAGAAAGAAACATCAATCTAAAATAATGAAGTACATACTGTCTGAGCGCGCCTTGTTAATGATTTTGTTATCCCATGTCTATGATAAAAAGAATTAAAAAAAAAACAAATAAACAATTGCCTTTTATGATGATCAAATTGAAACATGAGTAACTAATATGATGTGAATTAGAACCTACACAATCTGTCATCATCGTAATCCAAAGAAAAAAAAGAGAAAAAAAATTGATCCTTAATAAATAGTCTAATAAAAAAAATTCAATAACAATGCAAGCGTCCGAAGATTCGAGAAACTTACATCTGCATCTGTTTTCTTCTTACTTCCGACAATTTTTTCAACGATATCCTTCCGTCTTTTAATTTCATTAATTCTTTCGGCGACCGTAGTAACCTCGTTGAACGCGTCTTTCAAGTCTTTAAAGTCTGGATGAGTGGGTTTCGTCAGTGATAAAATTTGCTAAAACACCGCGAAAATTCGGTTAACATTTATTTGCTACCTATATCACACACACAATTTTTATCTAAAGATATATGCAGCATAAGATTTGAGCTATTGAAATATAATGTGCTTACCTGTAATAATAATGGATATTTAAGTACGCGTTGCACCGGTTTAATTAACAAGCTGGATATATCCCAACTTCGCGTTTGACCCTCGCATTTCTCTTTACAATTCTATAATAAGAGAGAAATATATGTTAAAATTTTTCATGTTGTTCAATAATAATTTTTTGAATATACGCAATAAATGGACCTGGAGAAAACTTTGCACATCTTCGTCATGTTCATAGTCTTGTAGTTTGGCTACCGACGCTTCATGCCGTTTACAATATTCTCCATACACTTCCTCCATTCGATTAGAATTTTCAGCCGTCTTTGTACCACGTAGCTACCAACAAATAAATTATGATGTTTTAAACATTTTTCTTTTCCGATTTGTTACATACACAAACACATACCATAGATAAAAATGCTTCCCCTATTGTCGTTTTATCATTTTCATCTTCTGTAAGCTTTTCGACATCATCCGTTTCAAGATTTTCAATGCCGCTAGCGACATACAACAACTCCAAAAATGTTGAAGAAAAGTCTATGACTTCTAGTAAATTATTAAATATAGTTTTCAAATCGTACTGATTGAATATAGGAATTTCCTTTGCTTGCTTATAATACACCTAATCACAAACAGTATTATATTAATCGACGAAAATGGTAATTAGTTTATATGATTTTTGATCGAAAAAAAGGTTACCGTTTCTAATAGTTTCATATCAGCCAGATAAACTTTTTCCGTGTCTACTAATTCCTTAATAGAATTCCATAATTTTCTCCTTCGCTTTAACTCTCGTGTTTGTTCATCTTCTTCAACAAATGTTATTGACGATGACGATGTTTCCATGCTATACTCTGAGAACTCGCTGTACGATCGTCTTTGATGCTGATTTATTGCGCCGGCATTATTATTTATTGCTCCAGTAGTATTATTTCTAGCTAAAGGCCGCACTGGAGGAAGTGGTTTTGTATATTTCATATCTATACTTTCGGAAGATGAAGAAGAATCCACGTCAAGATTTTGTGGCGGTGGTGATGTTGACACGGAAATATGACTATGATTATGATAAATTTTTTCCTCGATAGACGAACTGGAATCAGAATTAGAGTAATTATTTTTTTTCGATGATTGTGCATTTCCGGTTGACATGCTTCTACCCCATCGCGTAGGATTTAATTTTGATGTTGATTTCATTTTGGAACCAGATTGTGAAGAAGATTTATTGGATTTCCCATTAAATCCCGGATTTAAATCTTCTTCGTAGCTATAATCAGTAACATCGACCCAATCTTTACTATTCCCACCGAGGTCATAACCATCATCATCGTCTACTTCGTCTCCAGTAAATGGATCTGATTTTTCAGTAGAGGGTGTTATTGATGGTGAAGATCTTGTGTACGCAGAACTATTTGGTTTCGTTATTATATTACGCGAATTTACACTAGGAATAGCATTATTCTGATATGAGGATGATGAAAATGTTGAAGGTACAATTATTTGGTTCCGTGGTAATAATGATGCAGAAACATCATTCATTAATGCGGAAGATAATATTAAATTATTACGATTTGATCGCTTCTTTGGTAATGGAGGAGGCTTATTTTTCATCATCATTATCATCATCATCAATAATAAAAGAGTAAGTAAAATGAAAATTATTTTCAACTTTTTCTAATTTTAATATAAATGCTTACCGTATCATCTGACAAAGCAACAGGTTGAAATCTCGCTTTTAAAACATCATACTCTAAACGCGACTCATCAATCCCATTTCTACGTGTCTCATCAATCCCATTTCTACGTATCTCATCAATCCCTGTATTTTCTGACATATTAACTTTTCTACGTGTCTCGGTCAGTATATTATTACTGCTGCTATTAAGATTATTATCACCCGACATTTTTCGTTGAAGAGGCTGTTGTGGTTGAAGTTTTGTGAGACTTGAATATTTTTGCAAGGTTGCATTCGTATTGGCAGAACTTTTCGAAGATATTGAAGGAGCAGATACACGAGATCTTAAAACAGGTGCAGGTACAGATGACTGTAGTGGTGGTGGTTGTGGCAGCTGCAACTGCTGTTGGTACTGCTGCTGCTGTTGTCTTTTTTGTTGTAAGAGTTGTTGCTGTTGTTGCTGTTGTTGTTGTTGTTGTTGCTGCTGCTGCTGCTGTTGTTTTTGTTGCAGTAGCAGAGACTCTTCGAGCGCATTATTCTCAAATAATTGTGATATTCTATTTACATTTGCGCCACGAGTCCCAGAAGCATGAATGGGTCTTTTCGGCGGCACCATTGCCGAAATAACTGCAGAAGCGGCAACAGCCGACGACGAAGAGTCTACTTCAACGTCCATTCTCTGTACAGGCGATATAACAGGATTAGAAAACTTTGAAGGTTTTGGTTTCGTAGCTGGTGGTAAGGATTTATTATGAGCAGAATT